AGCCCAGTATCCCTTCCCCCTGTGCTGCCCACCTCACCCCTCCAACCCACCCAGTCCAGTATCCCTTCCCCCTGTGCTGCCCAACTCACCCCTCCAACCCAACCGGCTCCCTACCCTTCCCCTTGGCTCTCTGAGATCCAACGCTCGGCTTGAAAGCCGTTCTACCCGTCCTCCGCCCCAACTCACGCCCAGTCATTCTCCAGCCTTCTTGTCCACTTTTGAAGCTTTTTATTTTTTTATTTTATTTTTTTGGTTTTTGTTGTTCAAATTTCCCTTTTACAGTAAAACTATCGAGGTGACGGCCATACCCCGCCACCTCCCCCATGGCAATATCAACTTCCTGTTCTCTGGAAGGAGCGATTAGAAAAATCAGGAAGGAGCTGGGAGCTACAGCACCAGAGAGATGACTGGACCTCTGGTGGACAAAGTAACCATCTTGGCTGGTGATGGAGGTGGCCAACGTGGTGCCCAAGAGGCAGCTCTGATCTAATGAAACTGAGCTGGGAGCAAAAGAAGGCAACACCCAATTTGTGCACTACGGGGCAGGCAGAGGTACACGCTGGTCGCTCTGGAAACAGTGGCAGGGGCTAAGTACCACCGTCCGCTAGACCAGTCAGTAGGCCACCATTTTGGTCACTAAGAAGGGAGCTGTGTCGAGTCTGAAGGGACGAGGAAGTGGACGATGTGATGAACAAGACAGCCCTCTGGGTTACTGGGGACAACACGCGGGTTCTTGGGACAGTCCTGTTGATTAACAGAGATTATACTGGGGTGGGGAGAGGGAAGAAGAAGACAAACGGGGCCTGCCACAGCTGGTGGCAGTCACCTTAGCTGTCCTAAAAGTAGCACGGGAGTGGGGAAGGGAGGTCCCGGGAAGTGCCCCTGGAGACTAGGAGAATCCTCCTCAGTCCACCCTGTCTTCTAACGGTCAGTTCCGGCTTCCTCCTGAAACAGGAAGTTCTTCCTGCCCCCCCTCAACACGCACACTGCTCCACAGAGTAAGAACCATCCACCGCCCCCACCCCCGCCCCCCAAGACTAAGCCACTTGGAGTTCCAGCCAGACCACTTCCTATTTCAGAAGCGCTACTTCCTGTCCTGGATGAAGGCACTTCCAGTTCCTGCTGCACCGCTCCTGCCCCTTGGCCAGGCCACTTCCGTCCAGGCCTCCCCCGGGCACTTCTTGTCTGCAGCAAGTCACTTCCTGTCCCAAGCGGGGCCCGTTCGGCATCAGACCAAATCCACACGTGTGCCCCGACCGGGTCGCATCTTGCTCGTGGCCACTGACAAAACAGGACACTTCTTCCACCGGCAGCTGTCACGACCCAACCACCCCAGATGGGCCGGAGTAAGAAGGTACAGGCCTGGGGCAGGGCAGAGAAGGAGGCCCCGCTGCCCGTGCCCGGAGCTGGGGTGGAGGGCCCAAGCCTGCCCCATAAGGCCCCCATTTTTGGCAGACTGAGGGGAGCAGTGAAGAGGGAGCTCAGGGGGGAGTGCTTGCGTCCCCCCCACCCGGGAGATGAGAGAGGCCGAGGAGAGGAAGCCGAAAGGGTAAAAGAAGACGCAGGGAGGGAGGTGCTAGGAAAGAGGAACAGACCTAGAGACAGGAGAGAAAGAGAGAGAGAATACGAGAGAGAGAGAGAGAGAGAGAGAGAGAGAGAAGAGAAAAACAGTGAGAGGCAGAAAGGAAGAGGTGCCAACCAAAAGACAGACTGTCCCCACCCCTAGCTCTGGGTGTGTGGGGGGCTCAAGGACAGCTGGGTCACGGTCAGAAGAGGAGGCTGAGTCTCTGTGGGGGCCACGCGCGGCCAACCGAGGGCAGGAGTCTTAAGGAATCCTAAACGTGGGGAAGGGGTCCACAACAGCAGGGGCACAGAAGCTGGTGGGGCAAGGGAGCCAAGGGGATGCTAGAGGTGTCCCTCCAACCGCGACTTAAACTGGAGGAGCACCCCCAAGCGGGGCTGGATCCTGGAGAGCCAGGTAGGAGAAGCCCTCATACCTTGTAGTAGATGTTGGGAGGGCTCTGGGGGGGCCCATCCTGCACGATGTACACAGGATGCCCATAGTCACCACTCACCTTCTCATAGTGGGGACAGAATGGGGGGTCTGCAGCCCCACCACCCCGCAGAGCTATCCCTAGCTCCCCAGGCTCAGCCTCCCGAGGCCCCATCCCACTTCCGCCTCCCAGGCCCAGAGCCCCTCCCCTCCCGAAGGAGCCAGGACCAGGGTGGCGACTCTCCGAAGGCTTGGCCCGCCGTCTCCGCCAGCACATGGCACCCCCAGCCCCTGCCACGCCCAGCAAGAGCAGCGCCAGCCCCCCCGCTGCCCCGGCCACCGCGGGCATGCTGGGAGGGGGCAGGGGGCCTTCAGCACCCCGGGAGGTTGCATTGCTGGTGGGGTCACCTGGCAGGGAAGGGGTGAAGGAGGAAAGAGGGGGAGGGGCTGAAGGAGCCACCTGGGCATCTGGGCACCCAGCCTTGGGGGTCCCCATGGGCTTCCCCAGCAGGGCCCAAGCCCCCTGGGGACCCCACCTCCCCTTCCCCCCTAAATCCCACGCAGAATCCAGGTGTGTCCAGCCCTTCAGCTCGGTGCCAAGTAGTCTTCCCTACTTCTCTGACAGCTCTGATTGAATTGGCTAATTAGTTCTAATTGAGTCTTTTCCTCATTTGGCTTCCACTCCCCTCCCACCCTCCCATCCTCTCTTCTCTTTCCTGTATCACCCCCCCCAAAAGTGAAGGCGGAGGGAGAGGGTGAAGGCTGGGCAGCTGGGGTCTGAGAACAGAGGAGGCGGGCGGCGGGGGGGGGAAGGCAGGAGGGACCCCTGGCTCCTACCTGGCATGTTCTCCTTCCCAGGCTCCAGGCTGTGGGCTGCCCCCCGGTCTCTCTCCATGGGGATTTCAGACACAGGCTTTCTGGGGGCGGCCCCTCCTCGGGGACCTGGAGATGGGGAAGACCCAAGAGAGAGGGGCTGAGACGGCAGCCCCCTGACCAATATGGGACTACCCAAACCTCCCTTAGCTCCCGGGAGGTGTGCCCCAGCCCCCACTCACTTTGTCCCACTCGGAGAAGCACCTTCATGCCTCTGGTGAGGCACACGCCTCCCTTCAAACTCTCCAGGCCTTCCCGGGTCCCATCCGACGTGGCTGGGAGAGAAGAGCCAGAGGGAGAGGTTGGCAGGCCAGAGCCTAGCCCCTACTCCGTCCCCGTTCCCGGGCCCTGACACCTCCCCGGGGAGGGGGGCAGTGGTGGGACTCAGGGGTCTCTCTGGGCTCCTCCTCTGCCCTCAGTCTCGGGGGCACCTCCCCCTGGACCCTGCCCTCTCTGCCCAGCAGTACCAATTATGTAGTAATCGTGGTGCGAGCGGAACTCATGGCCCCAGAGGTTGGGGCTATACTCCTGGAACTTGATGGTGAAGCGGAGATCCAGGTCCGGCCGGTCACAAGTGAGGAGCAGGTTTGGGGCAGGGGGTGCCTCACAGCGCCGGCCCTGGGCACCCCCGACCAGGTATAGCTTGTAGAACTCGTAATTAGGAGAGGAGTGGGGGCCAGGAGGCCGGGCCCGGGGGCAGAGCAGGTCTAACCGGTCCCCGATCTGAGGGTAGAGCACGTAACCACCCTCCGCCTGGAACCTGTCAAGAGGAGAGCGAGGTGGACGAGGAGAGGTGTCAGAGGTCTGGCCCCCCAGAGCTTCGCCTCCCTCGCCGCACATCCCTGCAGGCCCGCCTTCGACAGGGCAGGCACTGAAGACTCAGCAGCAGCAGGAAGCCAGGCTCAGAGGTCTCCAGCCCCTTGGTGTGCCCAAATGCACTCTCCAGCCCGCCCTCGCCACACGCACACTGCCATCTCTCGCTCCATCACTAGCCCCGTTGCCATGGCAACGGGATGCCAGTTACCAAGGAGCTGGCCTCTCTGGAACCACACAGCCCACCCATCCCAGGTGATTTCACTATTCCCCGGCAGTCAACCATGGGGGCAGAGCCTCCCCTTCCCCTAGGCCACCACTGAATTTGAGGGATCTCAGGGCAAAGGCAGGGTGGGGGTTGGGGGGGGGTTGCTGAGTGTGGAGGGTAATCCGGACCAGTGTCCCCAAGTTAGCCAGGCAACGTGACAGGAGTTAAATGCCTGGTCTGGCAATGGCCCTCAATGAGGCCAATGGGAAGCAGGGTCTGGCGGTCAGCTGCCCCAGACATCTCCCTGCTCAGTACCCCTCCTGCCCCTGGGGCTCAGACTTCCTAGGGAAAGGGCCCTATTGCTCTGGAACTGCCTTTCCTAACCACAGCCTCCACAAGCCCACGCCTCCCTCTGCCCTTGACTGCAGCCCTTCCCCATGCACGAATGGGGATCGGGTCCCAGCGCTGGGTCCCTGGGGGGGAGGGGGGGCGGCTGCTCAGGATCTTCCCAGACTCCCAAATGACCCACTCCCTCCCACCCCACATCCCAAAGAGCCCCCAGCACCCTACCTCCCTCTGCTCAACCCTATAATAAGCCTAACTTACGTCCTCAGGCTGCACCTGATACTCAAACCGCAGCTGGGAGTTGGTGGGTAGTAGACTGAGAAAAGATATTTGAGATTATACCCAAAGAGACATAGCAGGGAGGGAGGCTGGGAAGTCAAGAGAAGACAAACAATAATCCTAGTTCTCCTTTAATGAGCATGTAATATGTTCAAACACCTTACCTCTCCAATCCTCATAAAAGGTGTGAGGACTGAGGATACAAACTCAGGAAGGTTAAGTGGCGTGCCCAAGGCCGCACAGCTGAAAGCAGCGGAGCTAGAACTAAGACCTAGGATGCGGTGGGCTCCAAAGCCCACCGCCTACCCCTTCCCGTGGCCTCACACAGCCTCCCCCAGGGAAGTGGGAAGTTTGCAAAACACAGAACTCTTTTGCTAGCGGGGAGAGGGCTCTGCATGGAGGCCAGGGACCTGGATGACCTCCCAAGGGTCCCGTCCTACCCAGTGTGACTTGAAGTTTCATGTGACCCCTGGCCTTTTTTCAGAGCAAAGCAAGCATGCCAGAGAGGGAACAGAGGGTCTGATGGAAGAGTTTGCAGCAAAGATGGGGGAGGGGGCAAGGGAGTCCTCGGGACTCCAGATGCAAGAGAGAAAGGGGCTCCAGGTTTCTTCCAGGAAAAAAAAAAAAAAGTCTCCAAGCCAGGAAGGCAGGAATATCTTCTGCTTGGGAACTCCATCGGCCAAAGGCTCACTGACCCTCTGGCTGTGGGCAAGAATTAGGGGACAGACGGTGTGGAGAGTCCAGAAGCCTTGGGTGAGATGTCCCCAGAGCCCCCACACGGAGCCCCCTTCCTTCCCCTCGTCTACACTGCGTCCCTTCTGGGGAGGGAGGCACCCTGCCCTTCCCCTCAGCGCTCAGCGGCACCTAGTCAGCGGCTCTCCCGAGAGCTGACATTAACCAGGCTCCCTCCAAGCCCAGCCCCCGACAGGACACAGGTCCCTCACAAACCCAAATAACCACTCCACCACCCTCCCGGCGGCTACCCAGGAACTTTCTCGGATCCTTGCCCCTGTGGGGTCCTTCCAACTCCCGACACATGGTTGTCGCCACCCACATCCAGCTCTGTCTGCGACCCAGGAGTCTGGCTCCCAAGATCACCTCTGTGTCGTTACCCATCAGCTCGCATCAGAGCACTTAGCACCCCTCCCTCCGGCCTCCTCCCAGCTCCGAGAACCAGCCCCCCCCAAATCCCCAAAGCGCCCCTACTGCCTGCCCGAAGGGTGTGGGGTCTCCCCAGCCGGGGGCCACTCACCTCTTATTCGCCGAATTCCAGTAGACAGGCTCCAGGCTGAGCCCAGACACCAGCCCCAAAACGCCGAGCAGCAGCAGGGCCCCGACTCGCACGCCCCCCGGCCCAGAACGGGGGGCCCCCATGACCCCGCCGAGGCCTGGGGGGGCGGGGCACCAACTCCCCCAAAGTCGCTCGCCCCCTGCGGTGACTGTCTCGGCGGCCCCGGCTGCTCGGCCCCGACCACCCCGGCGGCGGCCGCCCCCCGCTCCCACGCGGACCCGCTTCCTGCTCTGCCCGCGCCCCTGCCGCGGAGCGCTCAGCCCGCTAGAGCCCTTCCAGGGGCCGCCTGCGGGCGCCCTACGCCCCCCGCCCGCGCTCCGGCACCCTGGGATCGCAGGGCCGGCCTAAGTGGGGGACTGGGGCAGCCGGGGGCCGGGCGGGGGCGGCATGGGGCGCCGGCCGAAGGAGCGAGGGAGGGGCGCGAGCCGGAGCCCCAGCCTCGCCGGGATTGAGGGCAGCGGGCTCGGGGAGGAAACCAGTGCCGAGCCCGGGAGGGGGGAGTTAAAGGAGTGGCGGGGAGGGGGAGAGGATGGCGGAGGGAAAAGCCGGAGCTGGAGCCGGCGTCGGAGCGGGCGGCGGAGCCCGCAGCCCACGCCCCCCGCACCTCCCTCACCTCGCGCCCCTCCCGCGCGCCCCGCCGCCCCCGCCCCCCGCGCCGCCCCCCGCGCCCCCTTTGTCCCCGCCCCACCCCACCCCACCCCCGCCGCCGCCCCGGCTTCGTCTGCCCTCCGGCCCGCGGGCCGCCCGGGCGGCTGGAACCTTCCGCGCCCAAATCCAGAAAGGCGCTCGCCCTCGCCGCCCGGAGGAGCCCAGCCCCTCTCGCTCCCGCAGCCTCCTCCCCCCGCCCCCCCACCCCAGCCCGAAACGCCGCCGCGGCTCCCGGCAGGTCTGGAGAGAATAGTAATAACCTTGAAGGCTCCGCACTTTACAAAGTGGGCTGAGTTGGTCGTCACGACTACCTGTGTGAAGTGGGAGGGGCAGAGCCACAGGGCCCCCATTGTGGGGATGAAGAAACTGAGGCTTGGGCTGGGGGGGGGCGGGGTGCCTAGACGGGCCCAAGGTCACACGGGGAGTGGGCGGCACAGGCGGACACCCGGGCCGGGTCGCCGCACTGCTCCTCCTCCTGGGTCCTCTCCCCGTTACCTGGGGCTGGGTGCGAGGTAAGAGTTCAGGGGGTAAGCCGGGGCCCTCGCTGCCTGGCGGCGGGGAGAACCGGGGCCGGGGGAGAGGAAAGGGAGTACCTACAGCCCCAAACCCACATCAGCCGGAAGGGCTGTTTCCAATTATCCTGGGGGAAGGGAGGAGGATTTGCCTTTTCGGGTGTAAGAACCCTCGCTTTCAGCACCTCTGAGCAGAGGTGACATTCCTCTCCCCGCTCAGCCGTCGCAGGCCTCCGGTCCCCTGGCTCCGATGGCGAGGTCCCACGTCAGATCCCCTGCCCGCGGGCTCTTCAAAGCCCCCTTCTCGGGGTTTGGCGAGGGTGGGGGTGGGGAGCAGCCCCTGCTTGAAACCACACAGTCGCCCCCCACCCCCAAAGCGAGCAGATAAATGGAGACACAGGCCCGGTGACAGCTGCCGACTGAGCCGCTCCCGCCCTGGTCCCGCATCTAGAATGGGACGTCTGTGCTTCTCGGCACCTCTATCCTCTCGTGTGTGCCCTTGACTCGGGCTACTCGGTCCCTGCCTCCTGGGGGAGCCCAGGGGAGGAGAGGCTGGCGGGGGCCCTCCGGCTCCCCTTCCCCCAGAGCTGAGTAACGGTTCCTCTGCTGCCGGGTGGCGGTAACTAGTGTGCAGCGCGAGTGAGCGGGCGTCTTGTCTGTCACTGTCTGCACGGTCTCACGCAGTCACACCCAGCAGTCTGACACACGGCGCCTGCCACTCCTGCTCAGCCACGCTCACCCTGACCCCTGCTGCCCCCACCTTGGGACTGAGATTTCAAACAGGTTCCCCCTTCAGTTTACCGAGTTGCCTAGCAACCCGCCAGTCAATGGCATGAAGCCCCACCCCCACTCACTTGACTTCACACCGAGCTCAGCAGCCCCATTGGCTCGCGCCTAGTCCCACCTCTCACCCTGGTTTGGGGAACAATATGCCAACCCCTACCGCTACTGGACAAGGGAGCCCGCGGGTACCCCTCCCGGCCCCATCTCCATCATGCGCCTCCCAAAAAAAGACACAAAGACTCTGGTACCACATAGAACCTTTTTATACAAACTCGTCCCCGCCTTCCTCAGTCCCTCCCGGCCCCTTCTTGCCCTGGTGAGCATCAGCCGCCCTGGCGTCGGGACCCCCCCCACACCACCAGAGCTGAAGCTGACATTCAAGGTGGACGCCGCGCATGGAAAGCAGGGGAAGGTCTGCGTCCTGCTCGCCCTCGTCCTCACTCTCTGCGGGCTCCGGAAACACGCGCTGACCCGAGGCGGTAGCCAGCAATGGCAGGCTAGGGTGCAGGCTGCGGGGAGAGACCAGCAGGCAGGGCGTGTCAGCCCCTCAGCGCCCTCCCCCAGCCTGAGCCCCCAGATCCGTGGCCGTCCGGGACGGGATCACCTCACTCCATTGGTGCAGTCCTTCTGGGGCAGAAAACTCAGCACGGGCTCCGGCTTCGCCTCCTGTCCAGCCCCGCTGGTGTCCCACACAGACACAGCCCCGTTAGTGCTGCCACTCACTAAGAACTGCCCAGTCCTGGGGAAGAGAGGCGTCTGGTGACACAGAGTCATCACCCCCGGGGCTGGGACCTACAGCTGGGCTCTGGCAGCCCTGGGGCATTGGTACCCTGGGCAGGAAGGACCCGGTCACTCACAGATCCAGATCGAAGTAGATGCGCTGATTGGTGGTCACCTCTCGACTCAGGGACCACAGTGGGTGACCAGGCTGCCGGAGGTCCCAGCACAGCAGCTCGGCATCCTGGAGACACAGAGCAGGGGGGCCTGGAGTCCATCCCTCCCCTGCCCACCCCCTCCACCCCCCAAGACATCCCTGCTTCCCTCAAGGTTTACAGACGCTCCCTTAGCTTGGGTTAATTTTTTCCCCACGTCTGTCCCCCAACACAACACAGACTACATCCCCATTCCTGCCTTCTGTGCACCCTCTTTGGAATCCCAGGACGTGACCCCTACCTTGCGGGCTCCTGAGAAGAAGCGGTTGCCATCGGGGTGGAAGCAGAGGTGAGTGACACCTCCTTGGTGTCCTCCCAGCAAGGCAAGAGGGGAGCCACCATCACAGGCATAGAGACCCAGGGACCGGCCGTAGGAGCCACAGGCATAGAGGGGCTGGGCTGGGCTGAAGGCTATGCAGGATATGATGCCACTCTGGCCCTGCTTTTTGGCTAGACAGGGAAGGAACAAAGTTGGGCGGAGGGCAAGGACACCTGACATTAGCGGGCTAATCAGAAGTGCATCTCTGTCTCCTGTCCCATGAGCCGGGAATGAACACCTCCCCTGCCCCGTTTGTCACAGCACGATAAAGACCCCTGAGGCTCCCCAGATCCTTCCATCCCCACAAAGCACCGAAGTGCTCAAGACTTATTTCTTCCTTCTCAAACCTGTGTCATCTTGGGAGGGATGGAAAGCTGAAGGCTTATTAGGAAAATGCATCAGCTTCACCATCAATTTCCTAGAGGTACCAAGATTTTGGAGGGATCCAAAGGGACACCGCCGACAGGGCCTGCGCTCAGGAGTGAAGCAGCTCCTTTACCGTGCAGCTTGACCCTGGGAAAGTTTCACCCCCTCCCTAAACCTGTTTTCTCCTCTGCCCACTGAGTACAACCTGCCTCCCTGGGCTGTCCTGAAGGTGATGGGCCACGCCTGGTCCCCTGGCTCACACAAGGCCCCTCTGCACAGGGCAGTGCCCTTTTCCTTCCTCCTCCCCTGGGAGGCACAGATGCTTACCAAACGTGGCTCGGACCTCACAGTCCCGGCCAGGCCGGGCCGTGGAAAAGACGCGCACGGTCCTGTTGAAGCCACAGAAGAGCTGGGAGCCATCCGGGGAGAAACAGAGCGAGTGGGCTGCCGTCAGCTCGTCCTAAGGGCAGGAAAGCACTGCAAACAGGCCCAGCAAAGCCTCAGCGGTCCCCGAGGAGGGAGAGCGGGGCCACGATGAGCCCTGGGCCTGGACGGGGAGGTCCCTACCAGGTGGTTGTAGGCCCGAAAGGAAGCCCGGAGCTCTCCGGTGAATGCATCCCAGATGTGAATGGGGTTCTCCCGGCTGCTGCTGGCCACGCTGAGAGAGACACGGACACTGAGGTCCCGGTCTGTCAAAGGAAGGGGAGGAAGCCAACTGACCGGCCCTCTCCGCTTGCATCTGAAGGGTACACCAAGCTGTCCTCCCCCAGAAACCCCTGGCAGCCCCAGCTCCCTCTCAGTAGAGGGTCCCCTTGAAACAGAGGTGGGGGGCCGGGATGGGAAGGGAAGGCGGGGGCAGGCAAAGGACATCACTTACTAGGAGGTGTCTGGCTCGGTTGAAGACATCAGAGAATACCAACAATAATCATAGATGGTGTCGCCTTCCACCATGCGAAGGACAGGGGCCTGGACAGAGACGCAGGGATGCCTGGGTCACTGGCAGGAAAAGGAGGCAGTCATGCCTCTAGCGCTACCACGATGGGGCGGGGGGGGGGGGGGGGGGGGGGGGGGGGGGGGGGGGGGGCTGTCTGTCGGCACTTAACCAGGCAGAAAGCAGACAGGGTTAATATGAAGAACAGAATCCTGATCTCAATGTTCGAGGGTCAGCTCAGACTTTGATGTCAGATTTGGGCCGCCAAAAGCCATACAGGTTTATCCTTTTGCTTTTTAAACACTTAGGAAGAAGCAAAGAATATCCCAACAAAGAAACCAAGAACCAACCATTGATACAAATACTTACTGAGCACCTACTAGATGCCATTTGATCCTTTAAAAAATTATCAAACGGTTCAAACATGCACAGAGGGTTTTTTGTTTTTTGGGGGTGTTTTTGGTGGGCAGCAAAACAAAGTTTATGGAGCAATGGTACAAAGCTCCCGAAGAGAGAGGGGACCCGGAGAGGCTTGCCCAGCAAAGAAGTATTTTTCTAAAAACTCCTGTGATTCCTCCAACCAGCTTAAAAA